AATGGCTGGAATGGTAAGTCGAATCAGAATTTCAATGCACATTTTTTAATATTGTAAAAATAAAATAACCAGAAGGAAAAGGAGAACCAGGACATACGGATTATAATGTGCTTTTTTTTGATTGCAGATTCCTATTGATCGCTAGTATAAGAACACTATTTTATCGTCTATTATCTTTGTCATACTGTTAGTTCTAAACTACGTTTGTGGCTACTGTTTGCCACTACTCTGTGGCACATAGTTCCCGAGTTCCCGCTCCCTGCACCCGCCACTGTAGCCCGAAGGCCGGCCCGGCGCGCCACTAATTGGCAATTTGTTCGATCCTTAGATCTGACATAATGATGCGAGTTCGTTTATTTAAATGATTCGACGGAAACTTCTTGCCTTACGCTCCATAATAAAGTATCTTCAGTTATTCAATCATACCGAAGTATTTTTAGATATAAATCAACGCTTAATGTGCCACACGCGACCGACTCCTGAAGGCTAAAAGTATTTGCTTGTTCATTTATTACGTACTTACGTGTTTTACAATATGAGCGGTACGAGGTTGTGTTAAATTACTTGTCTTTCTCATTGGAACAGCTCGTTTTCGTGATTAAAGTGACGACAAGTAACTATGTTTATGATTTAGAATGAGCCACGCATAGCAATAGGAAAAGTTTTTCTTCGTTTGTTTGAAAAAGACTGCATATTCCAATATCATTTGACTTCAGATCAAATAATTACAGTGTTTTTCTTAGTTTATTTATTGTTGTTTAAAATAATGTTCTTGTGGAGATCGTCTGTCACATATCTTCTGGTTTTTACGAGATGACATTAACAATGAAATTTATATCAGCGAGTCGTAAGTATTCATGTAAGCGCAAAGACAATGACTTGTCCTTGCTTATTTTAAATCGATTCAGATCAAGTGAATTGAATTGCAGGAAAGTTTAGATTTAAGTACCAGGAGCACATACATAACAATATGCTGAATGATGGACATTTTATGTACAAAATGTATTAGAATATTCTGTAACATTGTACCTCGTTAAAATAGGTTGCGATGGCCATTAGCTTGAAGTATACGGACTAATTAATACGGCGTTTGGAATAAAGCTTCACGACAAGATACGTCGGAAAGGCAGCGGCGGGGAAAAGAAAAAAAAACGAAATTTAATTAAAAAAGTTAAAGTGAGTTTTCACGGCAGAGCGTGCGCTTCGCGGCTCACAATAACTCAAGCGAATTCTATTCTTTCTGCGAGCAAATTCTTTTGGGAGCGCGCTCGGCCTATAATTAACCAGCTTTAAAACTTGTTTGTTACAAATGTGCCCTTAAAATATCGCTTGCGAGCATCATTTCGTTGTAAAACGCTTACGTTTTTTTTAAGACAAGAACGACGTGAATGTCCTAATTAATATAGAAACATACTTTAAAAAACATTTTAGATATTTCTTCATACTTAAAGTAATAACAAATCATTGCTGACATCTACCACACTAATGAACGCAATCTACTAAAGATTTTTTTAGAACAAAAGAGTTTCCAAATAAATTAAGGAATTTACGAAAGGTCAGCAAAATATGAGATTTCTGTTTGCAAACTGATGGTACCGTTTTCGAATAATGTATGTACTTATTTTTGCTGACCTTACGTACCCTTTTCTTCAATGACCTTTCACAAATAGAACATAAGTCAAAAGATGAAAGCCCTTACATCAACAGCATGTTTTTGTTTGTCAGAAAAATATTCTCATTAAAAAAAAAGATATAACAAAACATGTGCGCGTGTGGGATCATTAAGTGTGTACTTACCTCTTGTGTTTATTGGTTCCTTTAGAGATGTAATACTAATTTCGATAGTCGATACTTTTAGAATCGCATAATAATTTAAAGTAAGCATTATTATGAACCGAAATTGATCGACCGATCTACATTTAATACGTAATTTTGTATTACTGTAATTATCAATTAAAAAAAACTAATTATTATATGTAGAAATAACACTAATGCAGCCTTACTTCAATTTCAAAGTGAATGTTCTGGTATGTAATATCGAAAATATATTTTAATGTTCACAATGATACGGCACGTCACTAGCAGTCAGCGTGCGCACACATTTTTGTGAGCTCATTAAAATTACATTACTGCTCTTATTTAAGCAGCAAACAACTAAACGACGCTCGTTAATGCGTTTTGTCGTCGGCATGTTATGGACATGTCCGAGCTGAGCGCTGACAATTAAAAGTAATTTACGTTTTGCTCAACTTGTGTCTCATTTTTGTCGTAATTACATTTAAATGTAAGATTAAGTATTCGTGATTACAATGTAAATGTTTATTTAACCTTTAAAATACCTTCCATGATTTGCCAATGGTAAATAGAAATCGCCTATATTTATACTTTATTGTAATAATTTTAGTCTAAGGTCGTAACAAAACCAACAATAGCATTTTATACAGATTTTATCAGACATGAGACTACACGTATTGTAAGATTGAAGCAAAACAATCAATTGTGACAGGTATTAATTGTTTGACGTAAAGGTTATTTCTCAATGAAATAACTCAATCTTGGAAGCGGATCAAATTTAATACAAAATTGTATCCAATACTCACATTAATCTAATACTTACCACAATGCAATTATTTTTCTACGACAGTAAAAAAGATTGCACTTTTTTTATTGGGTTATCATTAAAAAACCGTAAATCTTAAACTCATGTCATTTTATTTTCCAATCTAATTTAAAATAAAGTCATTAATAAATAGATCACGTTATAAAGTCTAATTTTTTAAACTTATAAAAATTAATTAAAACATTTAAGAAATTAGCTATGTCCATGTAAAACTATCGCTGGGACATAACTTTTATCTAAAAACACGCGTATTTTTAGTGATTGAAAAAGATTGTGGTGTGTCGGGGTGAGGTCCGGACTCCGGACTTGCCAATTAGCACGACGTAAACAGCCCCAAGTTCATTCGAAAACCCCAAAATATCTTAAAGTCGACGAGTTTAAGTGCTTACACAAATGGATTGATGTATTTGATCGACTACCGAATGCAAAGTGCTTCGTTAATGGAACTAAATAATAACTGAGTACCTTTTCTTTACTTATCGAAGTGAAGCTTGTTTACACGTCTTAAATTATACGCGAAGTTAAAACAACTTGAAATGTACACATCATGATTATGGACTTGGGTTACTTCATTTATTTACTTCGTTTTAAACAACATTTAGCAAATATCTTCTTAAGTAATAGAACAAAGAATCTGATAGCATTGACAACCTCTTTTGATGTAATTTATTGAATCTTGATTGTCAATCCAAGACACGAATGCCATTTATTGATGCGCATGCGTATTCATGAATTTTATATGCAGATTGTACTTGTTTACTTTTTCCATTTTTCATAAAACGTGAATAAATGAAATGTTAATGACTACTGCTTTAAACATTCAAAATTTAATTCACTAACAGCTCACCTTAGTCACTTTTGTGATTTCCTTTTATTCGTGATGAAATAAATTGGTATCTTTAATATAACTTTTAACCTTCTCTAAGAAGAGGTTACTTCTAAAAGCTCTTGCTTTTTTAGAAGTAACCTTCTTAATGAGAAGCTTACTTTACTACAAGTCTTTCTTTTATAAGTAATTTTGGTGCTTAGTTCTACTATAGGTTTTCCGTAGGGTCTCTTTGTTATTTACACCAACTATGATGGATTATGAACAAATGAAAAACACGTTTAATCATTAAATAAATATATTTATTTACAGAGTAACATAAAAGTGAAATTATCTCCGTCGATGTTTACGATAGTTCAATTTTATTGTTGTCTTCATAGCGTAATGTATGTAAGATGTAATATTATCTATCCAATATTGCTATAACGACTCTTCGGAAACTTTAATTATTTTACATAAATACAATTTTATCGTAAAAATCTATATGTTACATTAAGTTTATTAACTTTAGAAAATTTAAGCACAATTTCTAAAAGATTTTCAACAATTTTTATTATAAAGAAACAAGATAGCGGAAAAAGTGTGAAGTGTCAATGATTTGTGGAGGCGCGAAAGACATTCACCAAAGCTATGGCAAAAATTATAAATTTACAGAACGCTTCAACAGCATATAACTATATTTATAGAACAACACTTCGGACTCGCGTCTCAAGTGCACAAAACTTATTACTATATTATTAGTAAATCATCTGTGTAGACTAAAGTTATACAAACAATTGGGAAGTTATCTTTGGTAAAAAAATAACAGCAATATACCTACGTAACCGAAAATAAAGAAATAAAAGAACCATTTAAAAAAACATCCTCAATAAAATTTCATACCTTGTATGATAACAATATTACGTTCGCTAAATGTACATACATACATACAATTTCATAACAATGAGATCGATTTCATCAATTAACTATTTTAGTGTGGACCTGAATCGTTGTATCGATGTCGTAGGTACAATGTATAGCTAGTGAGTGGTGAGATGCTCGTACTAAAGGTGATACAAGGTACATTATTAATCTATTGTAAATACGAGGAGTGCCTAAGTAAAGAGGCTAGCAGATCGCGGCCTGCCCTGCCCACGCGCCGCACCGCGCCGACGCTATCTTAACATGTAGTCTCAAATCGTATACATAATGGAAATATCGTGTTCTGACAACGTTATCGTCTCATCCCGGACATTTTGTAAAGTGGCCACATATACACGGCCCGCCTCCTAGCCTAATGTACGGAGCCGATGCTTTTAAAATACGTCCGTCGAGACTTCGATGTACTTAATTCTGCACTTAACCACTTACGAGGGGCCACATCGCCGCTTATGAACGTCTCTAATTAAATTGCACTTTATACATTCTTAATAAGCTGCCATCGAATGATTTTTATTACGTCATAAGAAGTTTATGATACAAAAATAAAGCGTCACACCGGATACGGTTTTTACACCGTTCTTCTTAGACAAAATGAAACGCCACATAATATTCAAATTTGACCGGATGTTTTCGTGTCCCGCTCTAGAGACTGATCCGACGCGGCCCCAGCTCGCCGCCAGGATTCAGTGAGGCTTTATCTGGAAGAGAACAAATTGCTACAATCATGTTGAATTTAGGTATTTATTTATTCATATTCAGCTGATAAATAAAGTGATATCAATGCTTGATAAATGTTACACAGGGCTCATAATAAAATAAAAGAGTGTGGGTGCGTGGTTTGCAATGCCACGTAGTTATTTTCCTTGCCTTATATAAATGACAAACACGACTCGATGCAATACAATGCGATACGTAGTGTTGGTAGCGACACAAATAACAAGCCAATTTTCGCGTCACGTTGGTCACTCATACGAGATAAATGAGGGCCAGGTCATCGGTTGATGGAAATGTTGATTGCATATTGCACGTTCATGTGTGTTTGATTTAATATTAGGTACTTACCGAGGCGAGCAGTCGGCGCGGGAGGGTCGGTCATCGCGCGGCATCGCACACAGGTTCGGGGTCGGGCGGGCTGCCGTAGCCGCTGGACGCATCGTCCGCTCCCGCGCACCCCGCAACCTCCTTCTCAACCAGCGCGCCAGGATATCCACCGCTTGGCGACTGCACCAAACATATCTTAGATTAATTAAATGTAACATGAAGGATCGATGATTATTTCAGCAGCTAACTAAATCTAAAGATTTCATAAGGGGGAAGGAAGACAGAATTAAGTAACGTAAAAGATAGACGAGAAAGGATTATGAAGACAATCGTTCTACCAACCTAAGCTAACAATGGGATTTTTTAGGTACAATATGTTCATATTCGTACGGTTTTATTGACAGCACATTTTACGCCCGCTAGGGAAATGTCATAAAAAATAAAACAAAAAAACGTGAATATGGGTAATTCGATTTTGGATGTTGGCAATTCTGTGTGCGAGCTCCCAACAGTAGACCGTGAGCGCAATCAAAAAGTCGATTAGAAATGTCGTGCGGCTGAATGGGTTCCCTCCACTCGCGCGGCTCATAAAATGAAATAGATTCCCCCACATTCGCATTCCGACAAGCGTTCGTACGAGAAAGATTAATGATCACAAAAGAAACATAATAAAGTGGAGATAGAATCTTCCACTAACAGTGTCCTTGCGGGACTTATTTACTTCGCTGAGTCGACTTTTTCACGTGCCCTTTATTTAGAACTTGAAATGTTAGAAGATATCAAATGAAAACGTTTTAAAGAATGAAAAAAACAAATCCCTTCCATGCAAATAAGCGGTTTCGATCAAACTTTAAATTTGATGTAAATTTAGTTAGTTTCTTTAACTCATCTTAGAGAATTGATCATAACTACATTGTACGTAACAAGGCGTGCATATACTCGTATTTTCTTTTAATATCCGAATCTGTGCATAATCGATAATATTGTAATAATAACACAGACTTGACGCTTCCCGCAAGCAAAGTGAGGCCATTATAGTAATTTAGTATAAACGCGACGACAAACTCAGAAAACGTGTTTCAACTCCCACAAACAGCATTGGTCCACGTCAGAGGAAAGTAAAGTAATTATCGGAAAGAACTTTATAAGCCGGCGACGATATTGTGAGAACAGAACAATATGTTACCCATTAAAAAGCTTTGTAGCATCGTTGTTCTATTTTTGAAATTCAATCGATAATTACAAGCCGCGAATTAATTAAAATCTTTCCACATGGCCTGTAACCCGTTATAATTACATAGTTTGGAAGGTAATTTGCAAAGCTGGTGTAGTGCGTAGCTGATTAGACATGCCTCTAGTACGTCAAACGGTTTTAGGTGATATTATGCGGATTTAATAGATAAATTTTGACAATGTTAATAATTGCTTTAGTATTATTATATCCGTATTCCTTTATTCCAATCGGGCACGGTGAACATATCACAATATATACTATTATGGTAACGTATTTAGGAGCATTGTCGTCCTGTAGAACTAAGATGAAACGCCTCGTTACCAGTAATTGGATCTCCGGTTCTCGTCACATAAAACGCAGCATCGTTATTCTGCTCTATCATACGTACGTTTACGTAAAAGTAAAAAGGTCTCCCGCCCATATAACCTTTACATAAAATGCCTTGTGTTTTAAATTATACAATTAGCGATAAATAAGGAAAAGTGGTTAAGCCCATCAGATAGTGTAAAAAAGTCTACGCATTTTTAACACGAACATCGAGAACTTGCCACCGACCTCTGCTAGTCGGAGAAGTCTCTCAAAAAGATGAAATTGGAATTCAGGAGAGGACTTCAATATCAATGTAAAGAGAAATATAGCTGTTAAAGCTTAACTAATAAGTAAATATACCTGTAGTCCACTAACTTGTCTTCGTATATGCGCGAGCCCGCTTGGGTTGGCGGCCATGCTGGCGAACACCAGCCGCTCTTCATAATCGTACTCGCAGAGGATCTTGTTGTCGCACAGGTAGAATCTATCGCCTACGCAGAACCTGGACAAAGCAACTTTATATGAGGGTGTATAAGCTAAACTTATTATCTAGTACTAAAACCCTGTAGATAACATTTTAAATCATTTAGTCCTATTTACTCATAATAAATTTGTTAAATGTGAATTGTTGGGCACCATTAAAACTTACCTATGATTGCACTGTTGACAGGCGAAACATTCTAAATGGTACACAAAACTCTTCGCTCGCATAACCATTTCGAAGGCTGGAATGACTTTGTTGCACGCTACACAATTGCCCGTCGCACCGAATAACCTGTTAAACAAACCGAAACATAAGTATGAGCAACAAGCTAAATGTACAAAGTAAATGCGAATTTAAAGAAATTTGTAAACAGTAATTTAAATGAATATTGTTGTTTATGGATAATTATTTTAATATTATAAGTATACTTTACGTGTAACATTACACCGGTACTATAAGATTTCATGCGACATAACGGCCACAGTGATAGGGTTGGACATGCACAAAGGCTAATTGATCGCCGCCTCAACATTTTGAGTAAACAATTTCCTGTTTAAGCACGGTTGATTTCGTTGATGATTACGGACGGCTTAATATCACGTTTCGAGTTACTGATCATGAAACTGTTTTATGGGAAAAACCTTAATTAAAGGTTTTTGCGTAATGAATATCGGATGTGAAATTCCGAGAATGTTTAACGCAAAAAGTAAATTCTCATCTCACTAAAAATATACACGCCTTTAATGTAAATGTTGACATTGATCAAATGATTATTTTTATACTTAAAAACATGTAAACTTATTTATTAACGTAGTTAGAGCGAGCACACACCTATGACTAAACTATCGCACAACTCTTGTGCAATTTTTTTGCAGCCAATTCAACTGTTTAGTTGCACAACTAAAAATCGAGTAACGTGCGCTCCTTCATATAAGCTCATGGGAATCAAAGCAAGCAAGAATATACAGTTGTGCGATAATTTAGTTTCAGGTGTGCGCACTCTTAGAAACGACGTGATACAATTAGGATACCAAGGGAATTTAAAAAAGGTACCTAAGATAATCTCTCTTGCAGAGCATGAGGTCTGCCTTGTAGTACAGCTTGGAGCCGACCTCGCCGAGCCGACAGTCGCAGCAGCCGCACTTAAGGCAGTCTTCATGCCAGAACCTCTCCATGGCTTTCAGTAGAAACCTCTCGGTGATGACCTTGCCGCATTGTGCGCACAGCCTTGCGCCCCCTGTTGTACCGGACACATTGCTGAGCGTATATTTGTTTTCTTCTTGCTGATCTGTAAAGAAATAAATAAAAAGAATATTCTTATAATTCAAATATAATAAAGAATTGTTTTCGGAACTTCGTCATTAGTACGAAAAAAATATTTTAGACCTAATGGAACCTCTTCTGTGAAATATTTTCTTCGAAATATTCATAGAAATACCATTACTAATGTAAGTCGTTTTGGGTTTTATTAATTACCTTTTTGATGTCACTGTGTGATAGGCCACATTCATAACTCATCCAATACAAGTTCTAAATATTAAGGATTTTTATAAAAGTGAAAGAAGAAACAGTGATGATATTCTCTCAGATGTTTCTTTTTATCTTTGATAAATATACATGTTAATGAATTATTTATATGCGAGGTTATAAAGCGTATTAATCAGTAATAAATGTATTCTGAATACATTTGCTTATTAAGACTGAACATATGTTATCGCAACAAACGGATATTAGCACTTAAACGAGCCGTTAGAATTTAAATAAGGCAAAAGAATGTTCATTTGCAAGAAAAACATATCCAACGTTCTAATTAAGAGTGTGCGTACACCTGAAACTAAAATATCGCATAACTGTTTAGTCTCGCTTTGATTCCTAAGTTTATAGAGGTCGGCACACTACTCTATTTTTATTTGTGCAACTATACAGTTGAATTAACGAAACAATCGACAATCGCGGAACAGTTGTACTATTGTTTAGTCAATGGTGTGCGCCCGCTTTAAGAGTTGATTACTTGAAACATGCAATCAATAAAGTTGCATTTCAAATGGCGTACGGAAATGTTTGAGATTTTTATTAAATCTTCATCATAAAATGACTTGAGCCTTAACATACTTGTAAATTCTTATGCCTTAGATGTTTAAAGATAACTGCGTCGACGCAATTTAGTTAGTGTAACGACGCTATTAAAATAATCTTTAAGAAAAATAGGATCCCATCCGGTGTGTTAGAAAAGCGAGGCAATAAGGCCTTATGTAACTATATATTAACATACATTGCATAAATATAATGCTAATTCTGGACGGATACGAGAATAATAACATTTTAGGTCACGGCGCATTGCCATATAAATTTTATTAATTTAATTAAAAACTATAAATGTATACATAGAATGTATTTCAAATTATTTCACACCACAATTAATCGGTTCGAGAATTAATGAAGAACCATCGCAGACCGCACTCATTATGGAGTTAAAACTATTTGTTTTCGATCTGCTTCGATGTTTACGTTAGCAAATAAATACAACGCTGCGATAATAATAAATCAAGTACTATTAGCATTCTGTGTCGCTGAACAATGTTCATAATATTCTAGTATTTATAGCATTAATCTCGCACGATTGTTTTCTTCGTAATTACATCAATTAATTCAAGTAGACGCGCAACTAGTCGTTAAGTCTTACAACTGACATTATTAAATTGCGCGTACGCATTCTTCTGAAGCGGGGAAAAAGCAACAATGTGCTACATGCACTGCCATATTAACAGCGTTCTATAAAACTTTATGCCTCTTTGTTGCTCTAAAAGGTTTAATTACATTTCTAACAACTCCTCATAATTGCAAATATACCCCACTGAATACATTAACATACTAACGCTAACATTTTATTCACGTGATGTAAGTACATAAGATGTTTCTTAACATAATTGTGTACATATATGTAATTTGTATAATATTTGAATGAATTCAGAAATTAAAAAATAATAACATTGTTTCGTATATTTTACAAATTTTGGAAACATATTAAATATAACATTAGTACTGTCGGCTTATATATAAATAGGTGAAATGCCATAAAAATAAATTACGTTCTCGAATAAACCTCTTCCGCAAATACAAGTCGGGAGGAAAATTGACGTATGATAAAATCATATCATTCGATACACAGCACAGAGTAAACACTGGCGTTAGTAAACAATCAGTACCAATTTATCGCAGCGACGTCCACATAATAATGGCGGGTACGTCAAACCAATCGAGGAGCCAATTGAAGGGGTAACTAGTTGGACATAACTCATTGCAATCGATCAGTGAAGCACGGCCCGGCCGATACGTCTCGTTTATTGGAGCCGACGTCGCGACAATAAAGTTAATTGGACTATATTAATGACGGTTCGTTAATAATAAAATAATAAAGATGATGTAGAGCGGGCGTAGCAGTGGGCAATTAGCGCGCTGCGGGGAGCCCACGCCCACGCGCGCGCTCCTACGAGATCGTTATGTGCGGAACTATAAATCTGCAAGCATCGCTAAACAACATTATTAATTTGTTCTAAAGATTACTATTTGATATACATATTAATTTGTTTCTCTTCACGTGCCTATGGAATTCAAACTTAAAAGTAGGATTTGCAATATGGATTTCTAAGTTAGCCTTTCATAATAATTTAAATTGGAACTTATCGACATTTTAAAATATAAGCAATGACCGTATAGTGAGTATTTAAATTTGCTACAAATTTAATCCGTTAGATGGTTTAACGTTATTTTTTTCTTACATTATTGTGTCCACAGTCTTATAATTAAAGTGCAACGTACACTAAAACATCTGGCTGTATAAGCGAAGGCAACAATGCAACCAGACCTCATAAAGTAAAATGATACGCTTTAGGTCTAATGTAATTTAATGCGATGTATTGATGCTTACTCATTACGCTGCGGTTATAATGGAGTATCGATGATGCGGTACACTCGCGTTCATAAATGCAAACGTGAAATAGTGTATTCTCTTACAACACCATAATGATCTTTAGTAACAACAATGAATATTCTCAAGGAAAAACATTTTTTGTGCAACTTCACATCAAAACAACTACAACGTTTCTCCAAGACTTACCGCAAGTAGGCAATAATGCGTGCGATTGCAAACGCTTTTATCCATTTCTGGCTACGCATGCTTCTAGTACCGTAATTATGGAGCGAGACCAGCGAGCTATAACGACTTGATTGATAACATCGATATTATGAAGTCTCCGAACACAAAACTACATAGACTTAAGTGGAGACTTATGCTAAATTGTATGATCGTGTAAGTGGCGTAGCAATATGGAGACAGGCCATAAAAGGGCCTAAACATTTCATTCTTGTTAATTTTTATTGTCTTTAATGTTCGTCTTTACTGCCTGTTCTTGGACATCATTAACAAAGTCAGTTAAATTTACGTAAAAGGCGTAATTGTCTGGTCTAGATTGACGGCAATGGTCATCTAGTTACTCTGTTTATACGTTCTAATTAAGGTTCTCTCAATATCCTGTGTTTTTCCTACGAACTTTGCTTATTTAATCAGTTTCAACAACTATAAAAAATATTTATTACTGCACTTATAAAAACCTATTAAAAGTAATTGAGGAAAGCAATGTTATCTTTTATTAAAATCTCCTTCAAATGCCATATTTCTAATATCCTCTTTTACAGTTGTGTGGTCTTCCCTTAAGTCTTACTTCTATTAGAAATAATTGAGTTCAGACAGTTTTCAAATTAAATTTTGCAGGCTATCTTAATTCGAACTTTGGCAAGCGATCTATACTCGTACGTTCATGTGAAATGTAATACAGATAATAAAAAATAAAAGGCGTGTTAATAACGTGAAGCGTGTATTAATATCGGCGAGGGAAGCCGCTTCGTATTATTTTCTTTTTATTACCGCCGAGAGAATTTGATAGAGACTTGGCTACCGAACTGCGAAGACAGTATTATTTTGCCAACACACGCCGGCGGTTCTCGCAAACGTATTAAGGCACTGGAATGAAAAGAAACCAGGGAATGGATAAAAAGTAATTTATTTTGGAGTTGTTTGGTGGGACAATGGTATGCAATGTGTGTGGTCGGGACTGCGGTGTTTTTAAATCTTTGGTCGATGTCATGTACTATAGACCTATTACAGTATCTAATAATCAAATTGTTAATGACTTTTTTAAACATTAATTATTAATCATGACCATGAGTTTATGGTAAACGAGTATTGTCTATTACCATTAATATTAGTGGCCCTTTCTCAATATTCGCTATGGCAAGTTTTATTCTACTACTAGAAAAATATTTCCACATTATTTGAACATGTCCAAGCTGTCACGTCACAATTAATGACACAAATGTACACAGACATGTCCATATAAATCCCTTAATTGTTTTCATCGAAATCAGTAAGGTAAGTAAAGACATAACTGCATTGAAACATTTTTTTGCGTGAACCGTGGACTTCCACAAAAGACGTGGGGATCACTTAACGCGCTCCGCATTAGGTAACGCCGGGTTTAATAGTTCTAGTCGAGTATAACCGTATAGTTTCAAGTATTCACGCGTGTCGGCGACAGTAGGCAACATTCCTCGGATTCAATTAAATGCCAGGTTATTGTAATGAACCCGCATCACGACCGAGCCGCAATCATTCCATGCAATTTGCAATCGTTCATTGCGTTTTGCAATTAACGTGGCCTTCCCATATCGTTATATTATGTGTACGTTTCGTGTAACATTGTGCTGATCGTTTGTTTAGAACTGACATTTTTATTGTTTTCATTCTATTGTCGATGTTTATTAACATTTTCTGAATTATATGTAGGGACAATTACATTGTTATTTTCTACGACATTTAGCTGTTTTTGCTGAATTGCTGAAATCTTTATGAATTTTCATAATATTATTTTCTTTAAAAGCATAATTGCTGTTTTATTGTATACTTGTTCTATAAATCCGACATAAGTTGTAACAGCACAATGTAACGAGTTACGTTACAACTTTATTTAGTGCAAAACTAATGCATTTGCGTTATTTTATAATTAGAGCGGCTGTGTCCGGGGCCGATTCTAAATGCTTTTATAGCTTGTATAGTTTTAGTAGTCGGTCAGTCATTAAACAATGGAGTTAATTGCGCCGTTGCCGTATCCATTATGCGGGCTCCAATTAGATTTAACCAAATACGAGTTTCGCTCTAATGAAGAGTGAAAAAAGCAATTAACATCGCCTCACTTTCTACACCGATGACATGTTACATTGCTATTAACATCGTTTTTAATTTAATAAAATTAGAATTGTTATTAAATCGATAGAAAAAAATTTAACACAAGAATAATCTTAACATACAAAATTATTTATGTACTAAATTTACTAAAATAAGGATCAGTATTCTACAACAAAGTACTACGCTTAACGCTACAAATTGTAAGAAAGTTATTTATTATGTCTGCTAAGTTGGTATCTTATACGTGTCTTATTTAAAATCCAAGTAAAACAGACCCTTATGAAGGCGGTGGAAACGCACCGTGCAGCTGAAAGGCCCGAATGAAATCCAGCGTCGTTAACATTTCCGTTATTAAAAAAGTACGAGACTTTGTCATCATAGAAGTTAGTTTTTTTTTTTAATTAAAATTATGAAATTGATATTGCCTTTACGCCGGCGCTCGCTTCCCCGACTCAACCTTGTGAAAGTTTAAATTAATTTTTGAATTAAGCCTAATAGCAGTGGTAAACGATTTCTAAAGAAAGAGTTTTCTGTTTGAGCAATTAAAATTTCAATTATTTTATGGCAGAATACCGTGTCTTAATTGGTTTTAGCTGTGGAAATTGTAGATAAAAGTAATTGTCTACAGGCTATGAGTGCTTGTGGGGGCCAAATGAAAATCCTTAAAATCATTATTGTTAACAAAAATAAAAACCGATTATGAAATAGGTTTTAATCTTAAAATGTTTTACTGCCATTTGTCTTAAATATCGAAAACAGAAATTAAGAAAAGAAACAACCTAGGAAATTTCGTACTTACTGTTTTTTATAAATCTTACCGTATAAGGACCTTCAAGTTTTTAATACGTCGATAATTGTAACAAAAATACATATTATTACCTTATTAATAGTATATTAATATGACATTATTTTTATCGCCTATTCCTTTTAATACATAATTATATTAATTCGATTCTTAAATAAACAATTTCAAGGTGCGGCCTGTAATCGTTGCCTTTATAATTATCATTAAAAAGATAAGACTATATCGAGACTTTCGAAGCTATAAAATCTATAATTAAGTTGTTTATATTTTTATTGAATGGTAGAGTCGTGTTTCTCATATTTTAATCGAAATGCTACTTGTTTTTAATCGACCAATAACTATTTACGATCGCGACTGTACCACTGATGTATCCATTAACAAATACTTGTCGACCGAACTGTACTTTATTCTTGATTAGATGAAGCTGATTTAATAAAACATCAATTTTACATGAAATTAATAATAGAAGTAAATAAGGACGCATGAAATGTATTTATCACAAGTCATATTCATTTTCATTATTAGAATTTGGTTTAAATAGTTTTTACATTTTACAATGTAAAGTATATATACACTACAAAAATAATTGTTATTCTGCTATTATATGTAGATTGTAATTATGCCATTCATTTTACATTCATATTAAAGTTTCATACAATGAATACAAGCGAATGAGAATTATTTCCGAGGGAACATTACATAAGAATTTTATGAAGTCTTATAACTCGATCCACGTATTGAGTTTATTGTGAATACATTACCCGGGTCGAAGTTTTGCCGAGTCGAGACAATCTACGTCATAAATTATATTCTGAGAGAAAGGCTCAAGGCGAAACTTAAGCCTGACATAAGTGGGCAATAAACTTCAACCAATTTGGAGATTCGCATCTGGAGGCTCTTATTAAAGCCCGAAAGTTAGTCCTTTTCATCCATCACTCGTAATACGTATGTGAGTTATTGTATGAAAAATTGAAGAATAAATTGAGTCGCTGCAGCGGCGGCGAGACATAAATCCCAACTGAGCCCTCAATATTGTTTTAAAGGGGAAGTGGCCATAAATTTTATCAGGGCCGCCCAGCGCCGCGGGTCCCGGCCCACTGTCTCCGCAATTTTCCGGCCATGCTTGTGCATTCGCCGCTCATGTGAATTTGTTGCGTTATTACTGTACAAATTGAAATCCTTCTCGCGCCGCGCCAGCCGTCGTGAACAGGAAGTGTTTACCATTCGATTGCCCTTCCAATATACGCTTTATAAATTTACTGCTGGAAATACAAACAGCCTGCATACTCTATGTTCAGAGTGAGAGTATTTACTACTACCACTATAAGCAGTTTAGTACAACGTTGATTAAGTAGCAAGACGAGACAAGAGGCAAGCTAAACATACAATATAGAATAATAGATTACTGATAGAATAGACTTAATTATTCTATATGTTGTTAGGAATGTGTATGCAACATTAAATTTTATATTAGATCTCTTATTGCCTGCTCTACTAAAAGCTTCAGTAATAATATCTTGTTTTCCGAATATTAAACAAAAACAATTTAGGTTTTTATTGGAGGGCTTCGATTTATTTCTACCAATAACTTGATATTACACTGTGAAAACAATACGAGTACCCGCTCAAAATATATTACAAAGAAACTCGTTAGTTATTAGATTTTCCACTTTCTCGAATGAGCTTAATGTCTGTAATAACGTGAAACACGATTTTGATTATGATAAAGGCTCATAAAATGCCGCGAAAACCAGAAGGGAGACCTTTTTGAAGTATCATTATTTACGATTATGTATCTTGTGTTGTGTTGCTATGCCAATATCTATATATATATTCTATTTAAAATTATATATTATTAAACAAAACTAGTATTAAATACTCTGGACTTCATATTATTTGTAGCAAAATTCTATAGAATTTGTATGTATAAACCTTCTTATTATTGACATCGTTATTTCTGTTTTTAACTCTTAGTGGTGAAGATATTTTCAATCAGTAATTTTTGTACTTGTGCTTCAATACTAAAAATTGAGGGTTTTTTGAAGTTTGATATTGTTTTACAACTTTTAGCTTTTTGTTGGAATTGTCAAAAATTATTATTGTACGCACACACGCTTATTACAATAAAAAATCGCTTATTTTTATCAATACTATCTGGGTGTTGGACATTTCGCATAAATGTGATATTGCAATATCGTTCGTCCCCTTTTTTAATATCGCGACGGACGCTGCCGGTCGGTTTATGACACAACCCTTCCCGCGTTTTATTCACGACCTGTTTGTCCTAATATTATAAAAAATTGACATCAGCAAACCAACTTTGTTTTTTTAGATTGATGGAATTTATATTTTATATTGGATTTTAGGAATATGCACTATACCTATAAATCGTTTAATTGAAACATTAAATGCGTATTTTAGTTTAATAGTCAATTTATGTTTGCTAAGTTGAAGATTTATGAAATACAAACACTGTATTACAGTGTTTTTCGATTAGAATCTTAAATAGTTTGAACAATTTTAATGACAGAGATGTTATTCGATTCGTATTCATTCCCATATTGTCATAAGGACAGAGAAAATTAAGGTTTTGGTTTTTTATTTTATTTATTGTATCTAATTATAACACTTACTGGCTGCGGTGTCGGGCTTGTGCATGGCGGGGGGATCGCGGATCATGGTGCAATCACTCTCGCATCACCTACTGCCGAAATAATCCTGCAACAAAACATTTAAACAAATTAAAAATATCTTTCTCATATTTTAAATACTACTTGTTGTTCGCGACTTCGACAGCGAGATATAATAAATATAGCTAAGTTACTCAGAGATAATGTAACTTTTATATGGTGAAAGATTTTTAAGAAACGGACCAGTAGTTTTTGTGTTATTTCAATACATACCAAAATACAAATCTTTCCTCTTTATAATATTAGTATAGAGTAATTTGTATGGATATATATTAGAGCTCAAATAGTGTCTTAAATGGTTTTAATTATTTTCTATAGGTTTCTTTTCTTTTACAGATTAAAAAATATTTTAAGTAGACTTTTAGCCTTCAGAAATAGGCTTTCATTGGTTACCTGCACATTGATTACCCATACATGGGTTGTGTTTATTTAAAAGTTGATGTGATTTTACATATTAATTAAAAAACACTTAACTTGTATATTGGAATTTAAATATTTATTTTTGGAGATATAAATAATATTCTCAATAAATGTTGAATTATTTTACCAGGTGCTTGCTATATTGTAGGTCAATCTATTTTTGGAAAATTTGACCTTGATTTTAAAATAGTCTGTTTTAAAAATAAAAATGCACTTAATTTTTTATTCACCTGACATTTATGAACGCAACCAGGTTTCGTAAGAATTAATGTAACTTTTATTTTTCAATATTTTTTTATCTGTATTTAAAATAAGTCTTTAGGTATAAATGGAAGTATTGTAAATGCGAATAACTCAGGATAACCTCATTAGAATAAACGATATCCTCTTCTCACGTCCACTACGCGCAAGACCTTATTACAACGACAAACTACCGTCAAACGACATCAGTGATCCGTTTTCTCACACAAAAATAAACCTTATGGTAATCGATTAGGCCTTATTTTTTATTGTTTAAGGTCCTATTTAAGATGATAATACAATGTAAGCTTTATTTAACGTGGGTTAGAGTTTATATTAGAGGTAAAGTGAACAAACAACGTGCTTTATGGTTCATTCTTGTCCTTAAAGGTTGAAATGTCCATGCTAGCTGTAAATTGAAACTCGATGTAGACGCTGATATTTCTCACGTATCGATGTCGCCTTAGTACGGTCAATTTAACAAACAAGTTTTTGTTCTTTATCAAATTAATACGTGTTATTTAAATTGGCAATATAGATAACAAAATATTGCCGTAGCTATTCTGAATTTCGTAGATTAGGAATGTCTAATGAAAATGGATGATAATTAGTTCTGAGATATGGCTTAAGATGCAAAGTTAATGTTTTTACATTTTTGAAGAATAAAATTAGATTTAATGAATAATTTTTTTAAACTTAATGCTTAAGTAATGTGATACACCGTTAATTAAATATTTATTAATATTTAAATAACCAAATTCAAATCAAGTTATCAATGTGTATGATTGTTATCTTCGTGTGATTTTTTTTAAACTTTTAAAACATGTTTAGCTAAGTTCAATAAAAGTGAGAAATCATAACAAACTTATTTGAATAATTTCTCATGTCCAATGAATTCGAATACAATCCATATTCTACCAACCAATTTGTTTTAAATGTATTTTTATTTAACTTTGCCTCTTTTAATCGACTTCAATTTCGACGATTTGTGGTACACTGTTGAAGCATCTGTACAAACATGTGTTTTATCTCTTTTTATTTCAAAGACAATGATAGAGATGAAACATTATTACGGTAGTGGAAACTCACATTTACGACGTCATGTTACGAGAACAATACTTACATGATCGAGTTAGAATTTTGTACTACGGAAAACATTGTACATCATAGCGTCAAACATCAAGCGATTCTAATATAAAAGTGTATAAATGTGAAAATGTGTTCAAAGATATAAAAACTCTATCGCACTCAATTGGAGACGAGAAAGATTTTACAACCGCATCGAAATTCCCATCAGCACCTGTTACAAAGGCGGCTATCAAATTACCCGCGACACATCCGAGCACGCCTCCAACCATAAATACGGTATTCGTTATGCATTTCTCATATTCATGAATCCATTTTATTGGCCTCCAATAAAATATGAACATCTCAGAATGGATATGAGAACGGGCAAATCTAATATGGATTGCCGTGCGCCGGATTCGGTAAGATTGGCTGGCGGGGGCAAGGGGAGGGGGGCCGCAGCTGGGTCGTGAGACGCCTTTGCCAATTTCGAATTATAAACGGGAAGCAATTAGGTTTGTATGGTTCTATAATGACATTTAATATCCTTTTTATAACATTTATAACGAATTGAGACAAACTAATGTACGTTATTAAATTGAATACATACTCATAAAAAGTTTATTTATTCGTATGACACATTCAAGCGATTCCAGTTACGAAGACGTTACATGTAAACATTTTCTAATTGCCTTGTTTTGTGTGGAAGTAATGTTTGTAATGTTTGTAATGTAAGTTTTGTGTGTGATGGAAGTAATATACAAAGGTCGTCGTCGCTAGCTATAGTAGAGTTTAATACTTAACAAGGTGCCAATTAAATTACAAATATCTAGGTTTTTAAAGGAAAAAAAAATGGCACGAAATAGTCACCATTACAATTATACTAAAGGAATCAATATTTGGTCCGTAATCTTATTAAAAAGTAAATAAGTTGTCTTTGGAATATATTTTACAAACGACACCATAATTCTCATATACAAGGACGTATAGAAAAAGTCCCAGATTAGTATATAAAGGACACCTTATAGCATCTCGTAGTTCCTTAAGAAGTGTAATCCGAATTTAAAGGGCGTTGTCACACTAAAGCAGCCACAAAAAGGTCAGTACGTCCCCCAACGTGTCAAAAATTCAACAGAGAGTCTGGATAAGTGGAATGTATGGCGGAGGACGGGATCCCGAATAAAATATTCTATATGAAATCGTACGTCACCGGCTCTCGACTTGTTCTCACCGTGAGTGCTTCGCAGAAATCTCATATTTATACGCTTTTATGTCACTTGCAGCAAGTCCTTTTGTGTCTGCATCGATTTACAGACATCCATTAACGGATTTGGTTAGAAAAATCGTTGAAAAAACTAACCGAATGAGAAAATTTTACGAACAGAAATAATTTTATAAAGGACTAATAATACAGTATTAAATTATAAATCTGAGAATATCTTTCCACTGGATTAGTGAGAAACATTACTAGAGATAATTAAACATTTCGATAAGAAAAAACATTTCATGCAACAGTAAACGTTTATGATCACTACCAATAAAGAACATTGTCCTATTTATGTATCAGCTAATTAAAAAATAATATAATGTGCTATAAAATGCTTTAAATTAAATCCTTTCCAAGGTATAAAAGCCATTTTGCGTTGAGAATTAATTCACATCTCCATTATTATTGCATTATCAACACGATCAATTAAACAGCATTACGTTAAAATTCACCCCAGCCATTAATTACGTGGCAACCGACGACAGCGCGCGTCACGAAAGGCATAACGTGGACATTACTTTGAAAATTAAAGAATTATATTTAATAATCTTTACTATAAATGTTATTGTAACTGTTTATATATTTATAGTAAGAGTTACTTTAATTGCAATTGTTATAACAAATTATGTGAAACAACAATTTGATCCATTAAGGTCAAAGTAATCTGTTAGACAGTCCCTTCTGACTCGCACTGATCGAATTCATTATTCACCGGCAGAGAGCAATTAAAGCTCCACTAATCAATCTCAAACTTCAGCCAGAGCTGAACTCTAATCAAGAAAACTCCTATTCCGTGAAAGCTTTCCGAACAAAATTTAACTTAATTAAAAATGTAAATTAAATTCTTAGCCGCTTCCACAGCATCGCGTCGGCCGCGCGCCGCCGAGCGCTCGGGGCTTTTGATTGCAGCTAAAAGGTTTGGGATTAGTGCGCGAAAGAGCTTTCAGTGCATTTGTAGAGCTTTTAAGTGGGAAGCTTTCGCTTAAGACACTTACATACAATGTAAATTTTATGTACCACCTTAGAAGTGTACGGCATCGCTTATGAAATGAAATTAATTTGCCGTCATGAGTGGCATATTTGCGGTACATAGTTTATGTGTAAGTGCTTTATAAATTAATATTTCTATTTAACTGACTGGGCAAGATTTTAGTTTACAATAAAAACATTGATCACAGTTACTTTTATCAAATACTATATTCAGTTTTCTTGAGATTATCATAGTATTGGATGAAATATCGATGTAAAAATATAGATTTTTACTCTATAATTTAAAAAGCAGATTATTCCAAACCTATGTAATATTTGAGTACAAATTTTTGGGACGTGGCATGTCCGAAGAGAGCCTGAGAAATAAACCGCCCGTAAAATTATCAATTCCGAAAGAAATCCGGCGCCCGGGTCCGACTGTGAATGCTTAGCCTAAAGTCTTTTAGATTGCTATTTCTAGATATTACTTGCAAGTTAAATATTTTTAATAGAACATTTTTACTATTATTTCATAGTTTTAGTGGTTAAAGTCGACGCGATCATCTAATTTGCCTCGTTCTCTTTGTATGAGTATAAACAATATCTTTCTGTAATTTAATCTTCTGATTATGTATTAGTTTGATCCAATGCAATTACTCTATATACAATTTGTAGTAAACACAATATTTCAATAGATCTATTTTTTATTATTTGAAAGGTCATATTGGTATGGCACCAGCAAATATGTCTCACCCGCGCCCCCTGGGAGCTCGCCAACACAATCACTGTTATTCAGCACTTAGCTACACGACGCAGCAGTTTCATTACACAACATACTCGCGTAGTACATCGAAAATGATAAGCGAAGTAACGCCGACGACGCCGACGTTTTATATCAACGCCGTCATTTAATTGGTCGTTTTGTGTTTCTTGATTACTATATTTTCGTCTATTTTCATTTTACCAATAAAATTTATTTTGTTATCAATGTACAATTTATAAATGATCTAACTTTCGCCTGTGACTCCGTCCGCGTGAAATTAAAAAAAGTATATTCTCTGTGTTCT